TTACGTGGTTTTTTTAATTGCGGTTTAACACAATATATTATGGAACAGGATACGAACTACGTCGACCAAATTTTGACAAGAGATTGGAGAATTTGAAGGTATTTTACGATGATCAGCGTGTTTGGAAGTGGGCTTCAAAAATACCACGGGAAAAATGGTCGCAAGCATACGATGAAGGTCGGAGATACGGACATATGACCACAAACCTTGTTGAGGCCATTAATTCGGTACTAAAAGGTACACGCCATCTCCCAATAGCGAGTGTGGTGAAAGAGACGTACTTTAGACTGGGTAAAGTTTGGTCGGACAAAGGCAAGGAAATTGAGAGTCTCATAAATAGAGGTAAAACTTGGGCTCCTACAATGGTGGAATCAATGGAAGCAAATGAGCGATTGGGAACATCAATGGTTGTTAATAATTTCGACCGAGTTGGTCATACTTTTGTCGTGTCATGCATACGTCGTAACGTCGGAGGAGAAGACCAAACATTTAGAGTTGATTTACGACACAAATGGTGTGATTGTGGTCATTTTCAGGCATGGAAATATCCATGTGCTCATGCAGTCGCTGCATGTATGTATGCTGGTGTAAGCGCATACACTTATGTTGATGAATGCTTCCACCTACGTAGGATATTAAATGTCTACAGCTATGTGTTCAGACAGATCCCGAATGAATCATATTGGCCCAAAAAGGATCATGATGAATGGCTACCAAATCCAATGCTTCGCAGAAGTCCAAAGGGTCGACCTGAGTCCACTCGAATTCATACCAGTATGGATTTTCATGCTATAAAGAGAGGTCAAGCAAAGAGATGCGGATTATGTAGGGGTGAAGGCCATTCAAAAAACAATTGTCCTAATTTACCAAGATATAGGCCTCATCATTAGTAATCATATATGTATTTCTATGTATTTATTAATCATTATAAAAATGATTTAATAATGATTTAAATATTTAATGATTTGATGATTTAGTAATGATTGATAATAATCATTATAGTAATGATTGATAATAATCATTATAATAATGATTTAGTAATAATCATTATAAAAATGATTTAATAATGATTTAAATATTTAATGATTGATGATTTAGTAATGATTTGATAATAATCATTATAATAACGATTTTATAATAATTATTTAGTTATTATTTAGTAATTATTTATAATAATGATTTAATACTAATGATTTAATAATTATTACTAATAATTATAGAATACTAACAAATGAGTGTACAAGTGTGGATTACTGAGTTTAAATTTATACATAGTCGAATTTATTAATGATTTAAAATAGTTGATTTACTAAATATTTAATTATTTGATACTAGTAATGATTTGATACTAAAAATCATTGTTAAGGTTAAAAAAGTAGTCTAATTTCAATAAATAATTGTAATAAATAGCAAACGAGTTTACAATTGTTGTCGATGTCGGGGTGTTGTTGAATGATAATGTCGGGGCGGACGTCTGATACGTTGTGGCCGTTGTGGCTCAGGAGTATTGTACCCATCCCCCTCATTCATTGGGTGTATTTGAACTGTCATGTGTTCAAAGTCATACGTCGACGAAAACGTAGGAGAATAGATGGGTGCCTCAGGCTGCACAAACTCTGGTATGTATGCCGGGCCAGTAGAATCATCAACTGCGTGATGCAACGATTGTGGTGCGCTATTATCCACATCGGTCATTTCCGCTTCAGTTTGTAGAGATGAACTCCCACTCCCACTCAATAGAGAGTATTCAGCTTTACCAAATCTTTTCTTAAACCTCAAAAATTGTCGCCTCTCTACTATTGTTGTGAGGAACGGCTTTCCATTATCCAAAAAATAAGCAAGGTAAGCCGAAGTCTCAAAATTAAAGTCGTCGTGTTGAATGGCGTCAAGAGTTGGCATGAATGAAGCCCTATTGTTCCAAGCATTAATGTAGGTTGCATGCTTCTCAACCCAATTAACGCTTTCTTTACGACGACCATCAAATCTGTGCAGGTCGTCATGCGTCTCAACCCAATTCACTGGACGACGACCATCTAAGTTTTGGAGGAGGTCATGATCCCATGGACTCCGCGGAATAGGTTGGTGGAAGTGGAATTGCCTCAGCACTCTATCCCTAAATTGGATCTTAACAAAAGCAAAATTGATCAATGGTGTAACAGCACACCAAAATTGAAACCCATCTAAAATATCGTGCGGTATCAACGCAAATAATTCTTCATTCATGTATGGTCTCCAATTAAACTGTAAAATTACAAAAACAATAAAATTTATTTAAATAAAATAATATAGTTAATTTAAATAATAATTAAAAAAATACAAATTATGCATACCTCCTTTTTTGGCCTTAATGTCGATCTTCAACCTGAACTCTTTAATGTTGTTGTGCACCAACCCTGTGCCTTCAATTTTATGCCTCCATCTGTATATCAATCAAAACAAAAATAGAGACATTTTGTTCAATAATTTTAATCAAAATAAATATTTTTTAATTAATATTTTATATTAAAATAGAGGATTCATATTACCTTCCGGCAAGTGGAAAGTCAACCGCAGTCCGACTAATCGGTGTCAAAAACGGAAGTCTATGCCAAGCCCATGATTGTAACAGCAACAGACATCCACCGATTTCTACTGTATTATTATCATTCACGACTAATGACGCCTTGCACATCTCACGATACAAGAACGCCAATATCGCCGAACCCCAGCTATATTGCCTACAATTCTCAAAATTTGTTAAAAAAAGAAGATACTGAGTGTGAACATAACTACCGGATTTATCAGGCATCAAAATTCCCCCAATCAATTGTAATATATATGCTCGTGTTGCATATATTTCGTGCTCCGTACTATTTGATTGAAGTTGAAATTCATTCTTCAACCATGACAACCTCACCCGCCACCCTTTACACTCTGGTGGTACGGGCGCTTTCCCAAGAAACAAGTTGCAAAGTTGTTCCACCTTATTAAACTCATGTGACATTACCACCGGCATCCCATTAGTTTGGACCCCGAGTTGCATTGCCACATCCTCCAAAGTTATCGTGCATTCGCCACACGGCAAATGAAACGTGTGCGTTTCTGGTCTCCAACGTTCAATCAACGCACTGATCAAACCTGGGACCAACTTGTAATCTCTCACAAATGTTATATACCAAAATCCAGCCTCTTGCAAATTTCTTCTATTAGTGGGTGTGGCTTGGGCACTTTATGTAGTCGAAGACGAAGGACTCGCTGCTCGTCCTCCTACAATTAAATATTTCAAAAAAATTATCACAATCATAAAATAATATTCAAATATTTATTAATTATAATTCATTAAACAAATATTTTATTCACCATTATTCCCAAATGACTTGAAATATGTTCATTGTCAAGCCTCAACAGTGGAATTTGGTCAGCCATTAGAATGAATCTGTAAAAAAATTAAACAACAATATTTAAAAAATCATTTAATATAATCTAATATAAACTAACTAACTAATTTACAACACTAAACTTAATATAATAACTTATAATATAATAAACTAATAAACTAACAAACTAAACTTTTTAAAATATAAGTTAAACGTAAACGCTAAACCCTTAAACAACTAATAAAATATTCTTTTATATAACTAAAACTAACTAATAAACTATTTTTCATTATAATATACTAATAAACTTACTAACTAATTTTTTATATATAAATTCAACAAACAAATATAACTTAACTATTTAACTAACACAAACTAATTAAATAATTTTTTTATATAACTAACTATTAACAAAACAAACTAATTAATTATTTTTTAACTATAAACTATCAAACATATACTAATTAAATAATTTTTAATTTATGTATACTATAACTTAAACTAACAATCATATAACCCTAAACTAACAAACTAATTAACTGCTTTTTGTTTTACCCTAAACCCTAAACTAACAAATTAAACATTTATAATAATAAACTAATTTAAATATAAAAAATTTACCTTATCTCCCTTCTTCTTCTTACTTTCCTTTCTCCTTTCTTTCCTTCCTTTCTCCCTTTCTTTCTTTCTCGGCTGCAATCTCTTCTCCCTTTCTTTTGCAATCTCTTCTCCCTTTCTTTCTTTCTTTTATAACCGGATGCCTCAATTATTTCACCAATAATTGTACAATTGCAGCTATGATATCATCAGCTGATTTCACGCAGCAATGGTTCAATTATTGTACCAATAATCAAATGGTTCACATGCATGCATTGGCTCAAATGGTTCACATGCATGCATTGGGAGCTGTAGGCATGCAGCGGGGAGCACGTGAAGGAATCTATGTGGCTGTGCATGTGCATGGATGATGGGAATGGCGCCGGGACCACATGGCGACCTACAAGGTCGCCGGGACTACATGGTGACCTACAAGGTCGCCAGGACTACATGGCGACCTACAAGGTCGCCTAGGCTGCATGGCGACCTCTCTATTCCTGCATGCTCCCCATTGGCTCGTATGGCTCGTATATGGCTCGTTGCATGCTCCCCATTGGCTCTCTATTCCTGCATGCTCCCCATTGGCTCGTATGGCTCGTATATGGCTCGTTGCATGCTCCCCATTGGCTCGTATGGCTCGTATATGGCTCGTATGTCACCCACCCCGTATGTCGCCTGGATTGCATGCGTCCTCCAAGGTCGCCTGGATTGCATGGCATCCTATGGCGATCACTGTAGAATTCACCGCATTCCAGCAATTAATTTGGGATGTGCACCATATCGTGAAAAAAAAAATCGAGAACATTATCTCGTGAATTCACCCAGATCTGCTTGTTTTTTATTTTATTTTAATGCAATGTGAAGGGAGGGTTAAGGACTCAGTAATTAGATTTTTATTGACAAAAATAATACTACATTTTTATCACATTCTTAAATCATAGAGTTCCCCTACCCCTGCAGAGCCATTGGCTATCGACACTTTGGCAGTAGAAAATCCAACATTATACGCGTCAAATTCCCCGTGTCGGTACACAGTTGCCTGTTTGCTTTTACCCAGCCCTCTGTGTCCAGTCCCTGGCGGCTTTTTCCCCTTCCATCCAGTAGAGCCCACGCCAACTGGCCCAGACGGCCATGTCGGTGAGCCTGAAGAGGGCTAGGTCAGCCCAGGCATTCATCTCCAAAATGAAGAAATTCAGGGGGCTTAGAAAGAGGGAATACGAAGCAATCAAAGACTGCATAGAGGAGATGAGTGAAGGCGTGGACAGGCTGAGCAAATCGGTGCAAGAGTTGAAGCACATGGGGCAGGCAAAGGGTCAAGATTTCTTGTGGCATATTAGCAATGTGGAGACGTGGGTTAGTGCTGCACTGACCGATGAGAACACTTGTTTTGATGGGTTTGCGGGGAGGGTTTTGGATGGTAAGGTTAAGGCCTCCATTAGAGCTCGTGTACTCAACGTTGCTCAGGTCACCAGCAATGCTTTATCTTTGGTTAACCAGTTTGCATCCAAGTGGTGATGGGTCTTCCTGCATGTTACTCTTTCAGTAAAGTTGGAAAAAAAAAGGAGAAAAAGTTGGTGTAGTATTAGTAGTGGCCATGGTTTGCTTATGGTTTGCTTTAGAGTAGGGATCTAAATGAGACGAAACAGATCGTGAGCTACTTGAGATTGACTCGGTTAAGGTTCGATAAATACTCGGATCGAATAGACTCGACTCAAACTCAAGTTTGATTCGAATTCTTAACGAGCCGAAACGAGCTACTAGATATTCGACTAAAAAAGCTCGTGAGCAGCTCGAAAATATAATATATTAAGATTTAAAAAAAAAATTAATTATTAATAATATTAACATTTATGTGTTGATTTTTTTAAATATAATAAGGTTTTCATATATTTAAGGTTCAAGTTCGAGTTTGATGATTAAATTTTGTTAAGTTTAAAATTTTTTTTCTTCTTTTCGAGTTGCTCACGATCTTCAGTTCAGGATTTCGAGTTTAATTCGAGCTTAAAAATTTTAAGCTCGCGAGTATTCGAGTCGAGTCGAGCCTCATTTCAGAGTTTTCAAGTCGATTCGAGCTTAGCAATATTCGAACTCGACTCGGCTCATTTTCACCCCTACTTTAGAGGACTAGCTTTAGGTCAGTTTTGTCATGTGGTTTGGTATTGAATCCTGTTTTCAAATGTAACGATATGAATATAAATATGAAACATCACGAGTTTAGTTTTAGAAAATATTTTATATTTTCATTTTCTATTTTTTAATTTTAGAAAATAGTTTCATTTTCAAAATTTTAAAACAATTAGAAGACATGTTTGGTTAATATAAATGAAAAATTGAATTCAAAAATAAAAATAGTGAAAATATATATTTTTAAAAATAGAAATGAACGGATAATTATTAAATAATTAAAGTATAATACAATTATTAAAATGTTTCATTACATAAATTGAATATATGAGTTATAGAAATATAAAGTAATGAATTTGACAAGAAATTTTTATAACCAAAAATTATTTTAGTTTACAATAACAATATAATGCTAATGTATATTAGAAATCAATTAAATAAAAAAAAACACAAAAAATATTATTTTCGGCAAGACACACAAAAGTAACATTAAAATAAAAAAATTAGTGGTATTTAAGGCCCTAAAACTTAAAAAAATAATATAGTCCGTGATTTTTTTTGCACTAAATGTGATCCTTAATTTGAGGAAAAATTATATAACCTTTTGATTAACAGAATCAAACATTGATTTTACGACACTTACGTGATAGTTAACAAAGCTTATATGGTCTGCAATATTATTGTGACATTTCACGGTGTTTTTGTGATACTACACGATAGAAATGATGTGATAAATTTTCTTAATTGATTTTTTGATTGAGTACAATGGTCTAATTGATTTTTAAAAAAAGGTTTAGGATTTATTTATTTTTAAAATTAATAAATTATTAAAATTTAAAACATAAAATATTAACAATTATTAAGATATCCATTTAATAAATATAAAAATATTATAAATTAAATTATTAAAAAACAATTTAAGGACCATATTGAGTATAAAAAACTTTAGGGACCACGATTGATATTTTTGTAAAAGTTTGAGGGTTTTTAGTACCATTAAGTCAAAAAATATTGTTAGAATAATTTGAAGGTAAGTTATAAATCTAGATATTTTATTTTTCTATTTTCAAAATTTCAAAACAATTTTAATGAAAATACTGAAAACATTTTTTTATGTTCTCATATTTTCATTTATTTTTGTTTTCATTTTCCAAAAATAATTTTTTAATTTTACAACCAAACACATTTTCTTCAACATTTTATATTTTCTAAGAAAATGAAAATATACTATATTTTCTAGAACCAAACGAGCCCCAAGTTTTTTCTCTTAGCGAAAACATTATTCACGTTGCTTTAGTAGACAATGCTTAGATGTTCAGCTTTGTTTTATTATTGGATTAGCAATATTATGAGATTTTGAAAATTATAAGTTTTAGGATGCTTATTATACTTTAAGATGTCTAAATTGTTCCTCAAATTGATTTTTGGCACCTAAAGAATTTTTTTTATTAAAAATAGGTGTCTAATGTTTTCTCTGTTACATCTTCAGGTGCCTACCGTTAAAAAATCGTTAAGTGACATGTATCATGTTTATATTTTTTTATTTTTTTAAAACAAAATATTATTTAAATGTAATATCTCAAAATTTTGGCTAGTGATCGAAATATAATTTTTGAAAGTTTAGTGGTAAAATATAAATTTGGGAGAAGTTTAGGGATCAAAGTGGTAATTTTCCCAAAAGAATATTTTATCAAGTAAATGAATAGTTTACCCCATGAATTATATTTTTCATGGGATTCGGATTTTTGATCCGAAGTCTGTATTAAAAATTATAAAGCGATAAAATTTGATGGAATATTCATATAATCAAATTGAATAAAAAATTCAGGAAATTTTGACGGATAATAGTAAAATGTTGATAAGTCATTTAGTATTTTAAATTATTAGAATTTAACATAGAAGTTTGGATATAAGTTGATTTTTCCATGTTAAATCGGGACCGTTGGATTAAATGAAAATATTGAAATTTTTGAACAATATAAGGGCAAAGTTGAAAAAGATGAATAAATTTGTTCATATTTGATTTGATAACGTAAAGATGATGTTATGATGATGTATTACAGTAATTATCAAGAGATTTTAAGGGTAAAAAGGTCTTTTAACATAAAATGATTTTTAAATGGTTTAAAGCCAAGTGTATTATATATTTTATTAGAAAAAACAAGAATTATTATTCATCTTCAAGCTTGTTGCCGTGATCTCCATTAACAAGGTAAGAAAAGTTTACGGTTTAAATGGTTTGATAAAATTTCACGTTTTCTAGATTTTTATCGTGGGTCACTCTGGTGGTATAATATGACACCTCGGATCGGATCGGGTCATTCGTATCGGTATGAGGGGATTACATTTAGTGGTATCAAAGCCTAGGTTGATTCGAGTCCTTTTAAGTAGATTAGTCGATCGACTGTCGTGGGATGTTTGATTATTATATACCCCTAGATTATAACCGGACTCTTTTGAGCCGAAACTCTAATATCGAGTCATCTATCTATAATAAGTATACCTAAGTATCCTATCTGTTAAGGCTCGATATGTGTATAAAAGAATGTCATCAATATTCATCCAAATTCTATAAAACGCCTCATGAGTAATGTGAGAGTTACTTATTTGAGAACGCTGACTTGGCTCCTAATTTGAATTTGGATTATGTTACCAAAACGTTCTATGATGATAATTTTGTAACCAACCTTATAAGTGAAGTTTTGAGATTAAGATTTGCTACCCAAGTAGATCGATGAGCAAGATATTTGGTTAAAACTTTGACAAGGTGATTCCCCCTTAAGGTTCTGCATTAATGAACTGAATTGAAGAATTTCTAGAATCTTCCTTTTTCAATTTTATAAGCTTTGTATCCGATGAGTGTTGAGCCTTAGACCTTAGTGTCATGATCAATGTGAAATAAAAAGGAAATTGTTCATGTACTTTATAAAAAGTTTAAATCTCGAGGTGATTCATTTACATTTGAAAGAAAACAATTATGTCTATATAACACCCAAATCCCATGGATTTGAATGCCACACAGGACCACTAAAGTAGTTAACCTAAAAAATTTCATTGAAACCATACTCACTTTAAATTTATACAAGGTATAAAATTAGAACAATTTATAAAAACGGGGCCCTAATTTAGAAACTCTATAAATAGAATAAATAAATAAAATATTACAAACTGATTCATTTCAAATCATGACCTCTACAAGCCCACTAGGTCTTCATCACTAAACTCTGGTACTCCGCTAGGACTCTTCTGATGATGTCATTGTCCTATCACATTCCATGAAACCTAAAACTTGCGAACAAAAACACATTATGAACACCGAGCTCGCAAGCCCCGCGTCACATAATACCTCTACTATACTACATGCACTTATTAAATGATCATGCTAACAAATGAAATCATGTACATACAAATACACTCAAAAACATATTGAGGTAAGTCTAGTGGTGTGGTCGGAGGAATTTTATGTGCATCTCGGGTTAACACCCTTAGCTTACCTAGGATATGTAGAAGTATATCAACGAACATGAGATAGGTTTAGCAATGTGATCGGAGGAATTTTACATATATCTCAGACAACATACTACCCTATCTAGGATGTGGTAGCTTTGGGGTAAGAACTAGAATTTTATGTATGTTATAACTTATAGCCCTAGTCTATCTGGTATACCCGAGAGTTCGGGGTGAGGACTGAAATTTTACGTGCATCAGAAGCTCACATTCCAAACCTTTTCGAGCATAGGTTATGATTCAAAATTTTACAAGCATTAGATTCATGCAGGCATGATCAATAATTTTACGTTCATTAGATTCTTACCTAGTCAGAAAATATCTATATATTTTACAAATAGAGGATGATCATCAAATTCTAGAGTAACTCGAGTGTCCTAACCATTTCCCGAGAGTTAAGCAAAGGCCAATCTTGTGTCATCCTAAGTTGCTTGATTTATAGGTGAGAATTTAGTAATTTTGATCGTTTTCACTAATATCGTATACTTGAAGCTTATACGAACTTAAACACCCAAGGCCTCAAACCTCTAAATCAAACGAACCAAAATCGCCCAAAAATCAATGATGGTATCAATACTGTGCCAGCAGTATTGATACTGAACCTTAGATATCGATACTTACCCTGAGTATCAATACCAAAAATAGCTTCAATGTTTTCAAAAATGCCTTGGTATCGATACTCATATGGGGAATATCGATACTCTACCATGGGTATAAATACTCCCATGAGTATCGATACCAATTTTGTACACTGGAATCCAAAACTTTCAACCTGTATAGATACCACCCTTTGAGTATCGATACTGGACCCCGAGTATCAAAATCAGGCCCCGAGTTTTGATACTCCTTGAAGGAGTATCGATACTTTCCCTCAATTTTTTCCTTGTTTTTGTCCTATACAAA